AATGTACGTATTTTGGGAAAGTGGGGGTCGTTGGTTCAGATTTACCCTTTTTAAGTGATGATTTAACTACTTCACCATTTTTTTTCCTAGGTAAGTAAGGAATTTCAGATGAAATTGGAGTAAGTAAGTCGACTTTGAGAGATGGGAGAATTGGTTTTTTTATATATGACTCAGGTGCTGATTTCCTTCTTGTGGTACTATCACGATCTAATTCATATGATTTATTTTTAGAAATAAATTTTGGTTCAGATTTCCTTTCATTCATTGCCTTATTTGTTGCCTTATTCGTAGTCGTATTCGTTGAGAAGGTAGAGATAGACTGACTTGCGAACGTATAATTAATGGTGTTCGTATTTGAATCATCTTGTTTCTTTTTTGATATTCCAAAGGTTATTTTTGCCAAGGGCCACCCACGATAATTTTGGCTGTCAACTGGAGCAGTGCCTTGATTCTGTTTATTGAGCGATTTTGGTGGTACGAAAGGCATGGTGAATAAAGATAATATCGATATTATTTATCGATGGTTTAAAGAAGATAGAATGTAATTTATTAGCGTCAAATTATATATTCTGTAATAAATGCGCCTATACGATTATCGTAAAGAAAGAAAAATATAAAGTGATGTTTTTAATTTATGAATGTGGGTGATAATTAAACATAAAAAAAAACGCTCTTTGAAAGTATAAAATCCGTACTAGGAATTTATAAATGATAAAAAAAGAACGATTTTATGTTTATAAAAAAATATTTTTAATATATAAGCAAGTGAATACTCACTTAAAATGAGATTCACTATATTATAAAAATAATAATTATTATTTCTTAATGAAAAAATGAAAAAATTTAAGGTATATGTATAAAATTCTATGTAAATTTTTTTTTTTTTTGAGAAAAGTCGATGAAAAGTAATGATGGCAAATATTAAAAGAAAATTGTATTTATTATCTAGCTCTGAGGAGCTTCTTTTTTTTTTGATTGTATTGGAAAAGAGACGTGAATATTTTGCTTTAGAGAATTCAAGGTTTTTATACACTTGATTAATAGATAGTTGATATTGTCAAATATAAATAAATATTTATATACATGTACACAAAAAAATTTTTTTCATATACGTATGTTATTTGTCGCTAATATATGAGGTTCCTGAAATGGAAAAAAACTTTTTGGATTGATTTATATGTCACGGATGATCGTGAAATCGAATGATTTTTTTAGATTTGGGCTAGGGTTTAGGATAATATATACAAATTGGGTTTTTAAATGGTGTTCATATCTTTCTCATCAAAAATAACGTGAAATCTTTGTCATCTGCCTTACGTACATAGCAAGTTTTAGAAAAGCGAAGCAAAAATTCCTGTTATCATTCTATCTCTTTGTATAAATGAATCAATAAAGAATAATCTACATGATATAATGAAAATTCAATCCCAGCGAGATAATGATATCAATGATGTATGTGACAATTAATAACAATTGTCGCGGATGATGGTGAAATCGGATGGTCGTGAAATCTCGGGGCCTTGATTTAAAAATATAAACCCTACCGCTACTAAAACCCACCTATACTCTTTTATATATTATAAACTCTAATCCTAAATCCTAGTCCAAATCTAAAAAATCATCCGATTTCACGATCATCCGATTTCACGATCATCTGATTTCATGACAAATATATTAGGCTTTATATTGGATGATCGACACAAAATGTTACATGATATGTTCTACATAGTGGCGTAACGTTTTGCAGTTACAAAAAGGGTTTGGCAGCCAAAGAATACGTTCTGGTCTCAGGTTAATGGCGCAGTTAGCCTAAGCCACGCCGATCAATCATCAATCGATCATACGTAAGTATGTAAGTAATTACCTTTTTATTACTATTATTGACCTTTTAACTATTATTTACCTTTTCCATATTGATTTATAATATTACCTTTATTGGATTTTCTTTTACCGTTACCCCATTAAAGAAATTTCAAAAATGGTATGGATGAACTTTCGTGCATATAATACTATAATATTATTTTAAGCGT